CTTAGCATGTGAAACATTCCTTTTCGTGAAAATCTAACGAACGTACGAAAAAAAAAAATAAACAGAGCAAGAATATAGAATCAGATTTGTCACGAAAATTAAATTTTAATATTTTAGTACATCGCTAAATAAACAAAATTTTTTAAAAAATTTTTTTATTTCTCTTATCCTTACTTTTCATACATGTGTGTACATCATTAGCGATTAAAAAATTGTTATATCTAAAAAAAAAAAAAGAAAAAGAGGAAGTAATGATCTTTCAACGACTTTTCACGCCAATAAATTAGTCCCTGAAGAGGTTAATTTCGTTGGACGAATTTCAAATTTGTTCGGTGATTTACGGGCAAAGATCGAACAGTGAGACGAAAAAAAGTGGGACGATTCGAAAGTCTCGCGATGAAACTTTTCGTCTGTCGGAAGCTTCGGAGCGGCGATCACTTTTTCTTTTTCTCTTTTTTTTTTTTTTTTTTTTCTCTCTCATTTCGAAGGGAAGTTTGGAGAAGTCACGAAAGTTCTCGACCGAACCGATTTAATTCTCGTTAAGCGCACGAGGAAGTGAGTGAGCGTGGACGAATCGATCGTGCTGCGAAATTTTCCGAGTTCTTGCGCCGTATTGCCGGCGACGCGGGAAATGATTTCCAGGAATATTCTTGGCAAGCTTTGGACCGTGCCGTTATCGAGAACGTGGCAGGATTTATGCCTTGCGTGCGACGGAGGTCCTCGTGGTATATATGTACGTGCGGCACAGAAAATATGCGGGGAGTATCGAGGATAAATTCCAATAGGAACGCCATATTGAGTTCGCCACTGAGGAAGGCCGAACATTGCGTCTCGTAACTGTAAAACCGCGTAAAACTTTCGATTTTCACATTTGTCGAGTTTTTTAAAGTTGATCAAAAGCTTAAGTTTTTACACTTAAAATGGATTACCCTTAAAAAAAAATTCAGTCATTAAATTACGAAAATTGTGTCGACCGTGTCGGCAGCAAATAATTTATTTTAGAAGCCGGGTTCTTCAAGGATACATTCTACAATTGAAAAAAAAAAGAAACGAGTTCATTTCATAACTGCAAATTCATATTTTCCTGAGCGATTTACAAAACGAAGCATACTTTGGACATTTTATACGCGTTCCACATATTTTCACATATTTTTAAACAACTCTAGCGGGTTTATCCCTTCAATTTTTGACGTCTCTGTATTTGCATGAAAATTGAAAATGTCAAGGTTTTCGATTTTACAGTTATGAGACACGATATGTAGATGGAGCTACAAGCGAGAAAATATAAAACCATGCACTCAAGGACCAAGATACAATTAATTCGAATGGTTGAGATAGACAATTTTACGGAGGATCACGAAAAAGACGAAGGAAGGATATTAAAAATAACATAAACATGGAAGGGGTGATGGTGTGTTACCGCACGATGGCTGATATTTCTTCGCTCGCGGAATATCAGTAATTGAATTCATCGATTAATCATCTATATTCGATTAAAAAAAAAAAAAAAAAAAAAAAAA